ACTACGAGGGATGTCTCAAAGCGGCAAATCACGTGATCATAGTAAAATATTTGTCACCGGTGTCACGCCCCTCAACTCTTTCACGACTTGGATATTTTTCTGTTAATAAAATCCTATATGTCACACAATGTTTGTCACATCCGTAATTTCTTAATGTCGTAATGCGGGCCAAAAATCTGTATAAATCGGGCAACTTACCCCCGCTTTAGACGATCCCCACTAAGGGTTTTATAAGAAACAAATTTCATTCTTTTTTGTAACATTTGATTGTGTTGATATGTGGTAAATGCGTCTTTAATCAAGGAGATATGCATGTAAGTATTTATTTATTTGATATTGATTAGTAATGTTATTAGATTACTTTATATTATTAAATCTAGACAATAAATTAAATAATTGTTAAAGGTGATGATTTCTACCGCCTTTAAAATAGGAATTACTGAAAATCATATGTTACCGGCTACACCACATATATCTTTTTCAGGTAAAATTTACAGAGTAAGCCGGAACAAGTTGATGATGATTGACTATTTGGCGTTGAACTACTTGAATATAACAATTTTGGCTTTGCAAATAAAGAAAAGATGAATTTCAAAATACAGATTGTATTTGAAGCTGGACCTGACTCTCGCTTTAAAAAACTTGCACCAAGACTAGAAATAGGAAGATTAGTTTTTATTACAGGAATCCTTGATCTTGATAATGTTAAAATACCATTTGTTGAAGCAAAGGAAATTGATTTATCGGATGATTTAAATTTAAAAATAATCTACTTATTAAAAAAAAAAATTTCAGATAATGAAATAGCTGGTTATAAAAATGATGAACAGATATCAACTGATGATGCAAAAATGTTGATAATAATGAAGAGGGGTAGTTTGAAATAAATCAGTTTCTACAGACCAAACAGAAAATATCTCTGGAGTGCAAACTCAAGTGTATTCTCCTGAATTTTTAAAATCTTTGAAAATATCTGATCTTCCTCCTGGTGAATTAATATTAAAAGTAGGAGTTCCAATTATATTCTTGCGAAATTTAAATCCGTCAGAAAGGCTTTGCAATGGTACTAGACTAATTATTCGTAACCTTTAAAGTAATTGATGCAGAGATTATTACAGACTCTCATATTGGTAAACGTTTTCATACCTAGAATTACATTGAGTCCTTCAGAAAATAGTTTACCATTTACTTTGAAACAATTGCAATTTCTAGTATGTGTTGCCTTTTCAATGACAGTTAACAGATCACAAGGTCAGATATTAAGCGAGATGGCTCTTTATTTACCTCGACCTGTTTTCACACATGGCCAGTTATATGTTGGTTTATCAAGAGTTATATCATGTCAGCAGTATATAAGGTTCTCATGTTGCATAATGGTCAAATAGATCAAAATATTTAACTGTATTTTTCTAACGTGGAAAAATTTTCTATGTAAAAAAATTTTTCTGGAGGTATCTCCTATCCCCAGACCCTCTTCTTAGGCTTTTTTTATCACTTTATTTTTTTTAATTTTATTATTAATTTAGTTTCAATTCTTTAACTACTAATTACAAACACAAATTAGTGTTATATAAGTAAATACTTAAAAAACCCCGGTGCGAAGCAACGGGCAGCCGCTTGTAATATACTAAAATTTTATATGAAATCATTCTAGCAGTGGCCGCGTATAAGTAGAGCGCTTATTTCTTGTTATTGTCAAAACCTGATGATACAGTGCATTATTATAATATTTATTTTTTAGCTCATATTTCCTTATTAAACTTCTTGAGATTTTTAAAAAATTGGACTATCCCGTTAGCATGTTGAATCATTTTTTTCCACAAATGTATGTTGAATAATATCTTTGCTGATCAATTAAAACAATGAGCAATACACTTAATACTAATCATATTTTTATATTTTGAATAAATCAAATTTCTTGCTAATGCTCATTTGCTCCTTTAATACTCACAATTGCTAAAAATTTTTGCTACCAATGCGATTTATTATCTTTTCAATCTGATTAGTTAAAGTGATTGGTCACAATAATCTTCAAGTTTATAAAGATGTTCCTGTCAAAGTAGAGTTGGAAGGACAAAATTCTAAATAGAAGATCTATGGAAACCATCTAACCATCAAGACCAATGGTAATATAATTAGTAAATTTTAATATTTAATCAACTTTATTATTGATTTCTACCTTTGTCGCTTTTTCCATTTTTGAACTAAAGCAACATCATCTGTTGGGACATCATTTGCTAAAATGACGACGCCATTCTTCAGGAACATCTTTACAATAATTAGCAAGGTGTGCACGGTACACGCAATAAATTTGACTTGACATATTGAATGGAATTTTCTGCAATATTGGAAAATTCCTTCCCATTGATTATTACCCTTAATTCACCTATTTCAAAATATTTCCAAACACTACTTTATGGATGATATATATATTTCATTTTCCTTTTACTTTTCAAATTCAGTATCACCTAAAACTAATACATTATTTGTCATCGCTCTTGTTCAGTCATTTTAGTAAGAAAAAAAGTTCATTTTTATGATTACAGATTACGTGCGAATAAATTAGGTAATTTACCATTAGCAATTAATACATCTCATATTGATAATATTGCAACGAGCATGAAAATAATTTTTAAGATTGCTAATAATAATTGCACCTGATTTTGTAATGAATTTATGATGTAATATTTTTCATTAATTTCAGCATAATTGCGTAATACAAGTTTAATATGGCCCCTTCAAAAAGGTTAACAAAGTTAATAGGTACACGTGATAGCATTAAATCACACGACAAATCCTTTTTATCCATAAAGTAATGTTTGTGGCAGTTCTGTACAACAAGCCACAAATGATAAACATAAAATACGTCGTACCTTTCTAAAATGAGGGAAATAAGATTTTTTCCCTTTTCTTTCTTTAAATAACAAATGACAAAATTAAACAGAGATATTTTTTATGTGATATTAAATGAGTTACAAGATGATAAAAAAACACTTTATTCATGTCTTTTAGTTAATAAAACATGGAGTGAAATAATTATTCCAATTTTATGGAGAGATCCATGGAAATATTTAAAGAAAGGGAATGAACAATTATTATTAAAAGTAATTACAACAAATTTAATATCAAAACAAAACTTTAATATTAAAATATATCAAAGACCTTTATTTGATTATATTAGTTTTTGTAGACATTTAAATTTATATGAAATTAAGAGAATAATTAATACTATAGACGAAGAATCAGAAATGAGAATTTTTAAGGATAAAATATTAGATCTTTTTATTAATGAAAATACGAAATACACACACCTTTATATACCTTATCAATTTGATAATCAAATACATCTTATTCCAGGAGCAAAACGATGTTTTTCAGAACTTAAATTCCTTCGTTGTAATACCAGTATTAATGATAATGTTTTATCCGGATTAATAGAAATATGCAAATCAATTAAAGAATTGGAATTATTTATTAATGTACATAATAATAATTATGGAATAGTTAGGTTAATAGAAACGCAAAAAAATTTATTTGATATTCGGTTCATAACATATTCTCAAAGTATGGATGGAACATTTTGTAAAATTCTAGAAAATTCATTGAACAAGCATGCGAGTACGATTCAATATTTTAAGATGACAACACCACCTACTACAAATATTCTTTCATCTTTCGTAAATTTAAAAGAATTAGAATTAAATGGTAATAAGTTGGAAGATTTAGGAAATTTATTTTTACCATCTTTACGTATATTAAAAGCTAGTAACATTCAAGTTGAATATTTAACAAATTTAATTAAGAATACAAGCGGATATCTTGTTGAAATAAAAATAGATAATACAAATCATGATGAGATTAATAATAAAAGAATTATTAGAGCCATATATCAAAATTGTCCAAAACTCAAATATCTTAAATTATTACTTAGAAATAGTAATATATTTGAATTAGAAAAATTATTAATTAATTGTCAGTGTTTGAATGGATTATATATTTTTAATGATAATTTTATGGAAAACGTATTTGATTGGGATTACTTATTTGAAATTTTAACTACATCATCACCAATAAGTTTATTTAAATTTAAATTCGGTTTTGGTTCTAGTAAACCAATCAAATTAGAATCATTAAAAAAACTTTTTGATAATTGGAAAGGTAGACAACCCATGTTATTACAATTAAGTAATATAAGTGATAGTTATTATTGTATAAATATTGAAGATATGAAAATATATATTGACCTAATTAAGGAATATAAATTAGAAGGTATAGTTAAAAATTATAATAACGATTGGTATGGTCGTACTTATAAAGGTTTTGAATGGTTTTAATATATTATTAGGTTAATCAATTTATTATTTATAATTTATTAATAGTATTTAGGAAGTTTAGTTTATTATTATTATTATTATTATTTTAATAAATATATAATATAACAGATAATGTTGTATATACTTATTTTTCTCTACTTTTAAATAAATAATCATTCTTACATCAATATGAACATTTCCGATCGTCATTTTGGTTGTACAATATTTTGTCTTAATATTTTTTTTTTTTTTTTTTAGAGAGGTACAAACCTTTTTGCACCGGACCATAATTGATCAAAAAACAATATCCAAATTATTAGAAAAATTTAGGCAAAAATATAGAAATAGATTGGAATCTAAAATTAAGGTAAATTTAAATTTGCATTTTAATAAAGAAATACATTAATTCAACTCCATGAATTTGCATAATTTCCCCCTGATCGTAATACACCCCCTAGTATAGTACCTCAAAAATCTATAGAATGTATTGATTGTATTGTATCCCGGGTATTATACAGAAATCTTTACGATAATCGTTAGTTACATATCATTGTAACGAATTCTTAATCGATATCATGACTAATTGTATTGGTTACTTGTGCAGCTATCATTCAAAATGTTTTTTTTTCTTTTACTCTTTAATTACTCTCATTCTATTCCCAAAAAAAAAAGAATTAAACCATAAATGGTGACTGTGAGATTCGAACTCACGCCTCTTTCGAGACCGCATCTTGAGTGCGGCGCCTTAGACCAACTCGGCCAAATCACCCATGTATAAAAATGCATAAAATTTATAATATAAATTATAAAATGATATTATTACGATTGTTTATTTTGATATCTCTTATTAAGAGCGTACAAAAGATAAGTTGTAAATCATTCTTCAAAGGTAATGATATCCTTCTGATAAAAATCTTTTATGATTTCTTTAATTAAATTAAGTAAATTAGGAAATTAGACTTTATCATTTTATATTGAGGTTATGAAAACGTTAATCACAGAGTCGCTAGATTGAAATAGAAATTTAAAAATGATATTGTTATTAAACTAAATATTAATATTTAACTTGATATAATATTATATATGTAAGAAATTATATCAATTCTATCCCTATAAAAAATAATTGTCCGGAAAATGTCCAGAAAAATGTCCAGAAAAATTGTCCGGAAATTCTGGACACACTGTATCCAGAAACTGTTCCGAAAACACCTCATTTTCGGGACATTAAGAATTTGTCCCGAAGTTGTCCAGAAATACATTTTTGCAAAATTTGTCATGAAGATAATTGGCGGATAGTGATCGCATCATTATCACTCAACCTGAATCTTTATATCATAGGTACATAGTATTTTTGGCTGCTCTGCAATTTTAATTAGTATGACAAAAAAGATTATGAATGCCAGTTTCGTGCTTTTTGCATTTTTTTTTACAAAATTAATTTAATCTTTGGAAATAATATCCAAAAGTTGTCCTAAAATTTTTCATGTCCTGAATTTGTCCAGTTTAAATTATCCGAGTTTTTACTACGTCCAAAATTTGTCTAAGGTTAGCTGTCCAAAAATTTATACTGGACAAATATTAGTCAAATTCTGGACAAAGTTTGGATATTTCAAAAATTTGAGTATCAGATTTGTACCAAAAAAATGGACATTTTCCAAACACCACAGAATTATTCTGGTCAATTTCTGGACATTTTTGTAAATATTTTCCGGACATTTACTTTTTATAGGGTATTATTATAATTTAAATATTCTCTTTTTTCACTTTTCATTCAATATTCCTTTTAAGCATATACCAATAATGTTAGTCTTCTATAAGTTTTATCAAATTAATTATTCAATTTAAAATTACCATAAATAACAATCTAATACCAAAATCGAAAATTTTATAATTGAAGCTTATGCTTACGTAGTATTTTCGATATAGAAATATTAAAATTAGGAAACTGTAAGCAAATTTTGTTAAAATTACTGCAGGCAAAGGGAGATATTTACAATTTGCAATAGTTCTCCTACAATCTACCCAGATGGAAAGGTCAAAACAAGAAGTGTCAGATAAAGATAGTAAAATTCAAAATAATAATTAACATAAAAATTTTCTTAAATTTTACTTTTGTTTGTGCCAAATTTAATTTTTACGTACAATTCAAAATGAATTATGATTTTATAATTGTGCATTTTAGTCCATAATATTTTTTTTCTTTTATTTCAATTCTCCGATTATAACAGTTATTTCAATATATACAAATCAGTTACCGCATCAGTTAATAATTTTACGAAAGATCCTCTATATAAAATTTCATCTTTGAAAGCAAATAAAATCATTGTAGTGTTTAATAAAACATTTCAATGTCATTTAACATGACAAGATTTTTTAATTATACTGTATTTTTCATAATTTTTTTTTCTCGATATTGAGACAGAAATTTGACAAATTTGATAAGTGTGACGTTGATAATTTCAAGGGGTGCTCATGATAGCTAACTTTTACACATGCAAAACTACCATTATTTTTTTCTTCGGTCGAACGATAACCTCAATCTTGGCCTCTTATCTGCTACTTCTACGATCACTTTTCTTATACTATTACGTAATAATCGATGTGCACCTGTCTAAGGCTTCCTTTCTAAATTCGGTTGTATAGCAGGATTCGTTAGCTTTTAAAATTTTTACCGTGTCTACATAAAAGAAAGAACCAGTCTCTCTCAGTCGTGACACATAAAGATAAACAAAATCATCTCCATTCTGTTCATCTCACATGTGCACTTAAGCTGCTTGGTATTCCGTGTAAAACTTATGCTATTTACTCACTCTAACGAAAACAAGATCCTCAGCTTCCTGGGAAAAAGTGTAATATTAGTGCATTTGCAGAAAAGGACGGAAAGTTTTAATAAAATAACTTCATACCCTGAGTGTATAACCGACCAGCCTTCTACTTTCTTCGTCACAATTGGACGCATTCTAATCTTCTTATTCATTCCATTCGATGCAGCGTGAATATACTCATACTCAACCGTCTGGTTACGAGTGCTATAGGTTAATAACCTGCCTAAAATATTTTTACTGTAATGCACGAAGTTCTTATCATCTTGAATTTTATGAGTTTCTGAAGAGAACAGAGGAATAAATTTCATGCCATATAAGTCATATTCGCTAAATCTCATTTAAGTTGAGGCACGAGAACTGAAGATTCGACTTTTCTTTGAGAGACTTGACCTCTTTTGTGAGTAGAGTATGTTCAACCAAATAATAAATTATTGAGTTGGAATTGTATAGTCAAATTCATCCTTTAATACCATTCTTGGATGAATAAATTTAACAAACAATAAACATTATTTATCATAATATAAAAATCTCCAGGAGTTCATTTGCGACCAAACCATCTTATCTTTTATAATTTGGTATCAGATTTGTCGATCGTTATAGCAAATAAAACGTGAATATATAAATACAAATATCTTTCTTCTTTTATATGAATCTAATCTTAAGAGTTTCGAAAATATATTTCATTTCCTTTGACGTTTAACTTATACTTTTTTTAAACAAAAAAAATTTTTTCTTCTTGCTTTAGTGAATTCTTTTATTCTGTGACAGAAATAGAAAAATCATTGAATGCTGATGTACATGAAATAAAAATTATCACTTTAAACAAAAATCATCATACAAGAAGAAATGGTCAAGTTCGGATTTTATACTCCTACAGCTGAAGAATAGATGATGATGACCAGTATTTCACAAGACTGATCCTCCTGTAAAAAAGTTTAACGCTAAACTCATCAAGAAACATGGTGCTAAGAATCTTGATCCTGAAGATTATCTTGTCATTCCTGAGATCGAAAGGAAATCGTAATTTAACTGCTAGAGGGAGGAGGTATCTCGAAAAACATGAGGAGATAATACTTACTATCTAAATACGGGGACAACCCGTTTGTTTACAAACATGAGGTTTTTGTGTCATCTGAAAACACGTAGACAAAATAATTATCGAATATTCTTTATCCCAGTATTAATGACAACGAGACAACAATATTTTTAAGTACCTAAGGATACATCGTAATCAAAGAAATCCATTCTGAGTGTTTAACAATAACATGGAGAAGATAGGTGATATGCCCTGAGGGTATAACTGAAAAAAACCAAAATGATCCATGACTTCGTAATTTTGAAGGAACGTATAAAAACAAGATAACGAATATGATGAGTGATATGAACATTTCTCATAATTTGTCTTTTACTACAATTCTCGCATATCGTATCAATAAAATAGTAATAGTAACTGTGTGACGTTTGATTAGTTTCACGATCCGAAAATGCTATTGACACTATCAATTTTTAGAATATTAAATCGAGACATATACTTCTTTTCCAAGTATTTCCTCTTCAATTATATTCATTGTTACGACCGGTGCTGTCCACTTATATTCTTTTTCGCACTCCATATTCGTTGTCGCATCATCACCCATGTTGTCCACTTGTATTTTCTCTACACCCTATACCAATACTCACAGAACCTTGAACAAATTGTTCAGAGTATCATAAGACTACACGTAAGTTCCACTGGATTATCAACTACGGAAAAAATTAAATCCATTTCGTAGTTTCACGGATTATATTCCAAACAAGAAATCCGATACATCGAGATTAAATTCATTATAGATTACAATAATCCGTTCCGATCCTCAACTCCGTTATATCGAGGTTTTATTTATGAACCAGTTTATCGAACTCCACTGTGTAGTTAACATATTATTGTGAGAAAAAAGGAAGACATCAACTGCTTAATTATTTTTTTCATCTTACACATACTATATTATTATTGTTTACTAATCTACCAACCGAAAAATTATTGGTCAAATTCTGCGTGCTGAAACTACGAAGTAATTTCGTAACGTTCTAACCTGAATATTTCAACATTCACATGCACTATGTAAGTAATTATGAAGTTTTGATTTCTTTCAGGTCGCCACAAAACTTGAGTCGCGGCATTCTTGATGTGAACATGTTCGCAGTAGGCGCTAACCATTTATTTTCGTATGTTGACTTCTCCATCATGTTATTATTTTAGAATTAAAACATTTGTCATATTGATATCACAATGGATATTGATCAACCACTGCATTGTTTTTTTACGCTCAGTCTCACAATGCCAAAAATAGAATTTACCGATCCACATTCTAATTTCATCGTAATATTACTATTCGTTCATTTTCATTTTTATCTACGTCATTGTCATGTGACACTCTTAAGAGCATCACGTGTTATCCCACACCAATTCTATTAGCAAGGTTGAGATTCTCAAAATATTTCACAATGTGTTCGTTCTTGTGTGCCCTTGATCCCATCGTCGACGAATTGTCGAACTACTTTTCATATAAACACCAATTTCCAACGCCTGATGAATAGTTAGTACGCCTTGAAAGTAATTTTCACCGCGCCATGCTGATGCACAGATTATTTAGCGTTTCCTTCTTCATGCTTCTCATAAGAACGTTAAATGTCACATTGTAATTTATAACAAAGTGAGTGAACTACATCCTCGACTAGTCGCTTCTGGAATTTTTCTTGGTAAATTGACCGGCAAAGAAGTTAATTTTATTAACTTTTTGGTTCAAGTGGGCATTTCCAAGTTTCGCTAATTTTGGTATATACCATAGTTAAATATTTGATAGTTACGTAAATATTGCAATCACTTTGTTTTATGATAGTATAATTTTATTATTTTCTGTTTTCACTTATCGCGCCTCTCCATCACAATGTTATTGCAGTATTG